TGATAATAGTAATCTTGGAACTCCAGGGCTGGAAGTAAATCATACAACAGTTAACAGGAAGGAAAGATTCCCCTTGAAGGACAGGCACATCCTGCAGACACCCTTGACGGGCCATTTTCCTTTGAACCATCTTGCCTCTGGATAGGAAGGCAGACTTGGGAGAGGCTCGAAGGCTCATCAAGATCAACTCCCAGGTAGGACGTGACATCCAGCGTTGAAACATCCTTATTGGGTGGCTAGCGCAACCTCTGTTGAAAAAATACTGATGAAAAAAGAGCCCACCGCACTCGGAGAAAACCATTCAACAGCTCTTATGGTCAAGAAGCTACTCCGAACGTTGCAATGAAATCTCCTTTCTTGCTGTTTGGCTCCGCTACCTTGAGTCTTGGAGCTGCAGAAGACAAGATTGCTCCATCTTCTCATGGCACCTCTTCGACTATTTGAAGAGGACAGTCCCATCACCTCTCAGACTTCTCTTTCCCACCCTACTGTCTTCCTCAACCTTTATTCATAGGGTTTCCTTTGCAGGCCTTTTATCACCCCACCCACCCCAAAAACTATAAGGCAGATCCCTCTAGACAGGGTTTCTCTGTCTTGGCCATACCTGTTTACTATGGGACAGTATAGACACGAAATGAAATGAAATGAAAAAGGGTCTTGGGGTTCCTCCTACTCTTTCCCTTCTAGAAAAGAGCAATGGGATTGTAACTGAACGAGCGACTGGATTATAAATGTAAAGAGTTACAGTTCTCGCCTGTAACTGTTTAAATCCAAGTAAACTAAGCCAGACTCATGCAAACTCTACAAGGCACATGGGTTATTTGTGAGATGGCGCTGAGGGAGAAGAGTTGGCGAAAGGTCTTGCTGTTCTACTAGTTGGGTTTCATCCTGACCAGGTCCATTTCAAAGGCTTTCCCCCTCCTTTTCCTTCCCTCCGTCTTGGCTCAGCACAGTTGGAGGCCAATTGTGCTAAGGACTAAGAGGCTGCAGGGAAGGTGGTGTGTGCATACGCATGTGTGCTCCCACTGCCGCTCAAAAGGCAGGTTTGTGTCTGTGCTGGCATGAAACGCTTGAGGCACTTGGTAAAAGGAGAGAGGGTTGCTTTGCAAAGACAGAAGAGGGAGGGAGGGAGGGAAGGTAAATCCTTCCCCAAAGGAGGGCTCACTTCAAAATGCAGTTAAAGAGTTCTGAGAAAGTTAGGCCACCTTTTCCCAGCTGCCCATGGAAATGTGTGTCCCCTCCCATTGGCAACGTCTTCTTCTGACCATCATTTCATTTTTATTGCCTCTAGGTCTACTTCCAGTGCACTTTCTGTGCATTGGGGGTGGGGGGGAGGCAACAGAGGAGAAGAGCTGGAATGTGATTTATGGGTTCTTTTGAATTAAAAATCTAATCCTACCAGGAACTATAGAAGGGAGCTTAGAGTCCCTGCACTTTAATTTTGGCTCCGTTGTCTCTTGGTGGTTATTTATAGCAAAATGCAAAGCAAAGATCCTCCAGGAAGGGGCCTACAGGCTGCATCTGTTTTCCAGTCCATTTTATTATGGGGCCGCAAAATGTAACACACGAACTCACATGTAAGTTCAAGAACATAATTTAAAGGAGACATACCCACCTTAAACAGGACTAGAAGAGTTTGGTGAGAGATCTGAGTAGACCCTTTCCCACCAATATTCATCTTACTCATCAGGTTAGGTTGCTGAAGGATCACAGAATCACTGAACAATGGGGTTGGAAGGGGCCTCTCAGGCCATCGAGTCCAACCCCCCCCCCCCCGCTCAAGGCAGGAATCCACATCCAAGCAGGTCTGGCAGAAGGTGGTCCAGTTATCTCCTGAAGGCCTCCAGATGTGGAGTATGCACCACCTCCAAAGGTCATAGGTTCCATTGTCGTACTACTCTAACAGTTAAGATGTTTCTCCTGATATTCAACTGAAATTTGGCTTTTTGTAAATTGATCCCATTATTATGTGTTCTGAACTCTAGGATAATCAACAACAGGTCCTACCCTCCTTCTGAATCCCAGCTATCATGCTGGTCCTGCCACCGTGGATCCTGAGACATTCCCAAAACACTCACCAGAAATCAAAGTAGCATCACATTAATGAGCATAAGGCTGTGGGTGGATTTATTTTTTGTCTTTGTAGTTGAGAGCTTCGCTGCTTCTATTTTGGGACTCAACGTGAGCTTTGATTCTTTAGTTAGATTAAATCAATTAAAAACAGTTTAAATAGGCACGGGTGTTTGCAAGCAGAAGGCTCTTAGTACTATTAAATGGCACTGTGTATCTATTTCTACCTTTTCCTCAATTTATATATAAAAAATAAAACAGATGGGGGGAAAAGTGATACAAATCCATGCAATAATTGCAACAGGAAAGAATGCCATCTGGACACTGTAAAATTCTATCTTTGAGGCAGGGCAATTGCAGAAAAAAAGTCTTACTTGGAAGTACTGGTCATGCTTCTGCAGAATTAAGACAACTTTGATCATTATTTTGAAGACCTGAAGAAGGTAGGCATTATCGTCAAAGCACTTTTTCATGTTGGAGGAAATGCTTTTTCTTACTGTAGATGTACACATCTCCCCAACTCCCACTAGGTAAGACAACACCTGAGACTTGTTTTCATGTTGGAGGAAATGCTTTTTCTTAGATGTACACATCTCCCCAACTCCCAGTAGATAAGACAACACCTGAGACTTAGAAGTGCAGCTATGAAGGAAAAGATATTTCAAAGTAAGGATGTGTTACTGGGGACCAACGTCAAGATAATCCATAATACCGTATTCCGGATTAGCATGTATGGATGTAAAAGCTGGACAATGAAAATAGCCCACAGGAAAACTATGGATTTCTCCAAAATTCAGTTTTAGAAGAAAGAGGTAGTTTTAGAAGAAGCGGCCATCTTAGTCCATGCTAAGCTAACCAATAATATAGATAGACCTTGTCATGCCTGATTCAAAAGGACACGGAGGCAACTTAAAAGAACAACAACAACAACAACAGAATTATAAGGTGGGATTTTTTTTAATTTATGGGAACTTCATAACCATTATTACAACTAAACTACTCATATCAACAAACAGATTGGATGGAAGATATTTTAAGTGCCTCAAAATTCACAAAACAGAAAGCTGATCTGCCGGACACCTTTAGCTTATGACCAAAGCAGGCCTGAGGAAAGATGTACCCACGTCACATTTGCTGTGACTGTGTTAAAGCCACCAAACTCTGCCTTGGCTTCTCCTCTTAACTGTGGAGAAAACGAACCGCAGCTTGGGATCTCAAAGACAGCAATGCAGAACATCATTGGCTGGCATCTGGCATGGCTCACCTTGTTAACATTTATCTATCCTTCATCTGCTACACCTAGTCCAAGGACAACAAGGCTGATGAGGACCAGGTGGGGTGAGGAAATTTTTCGATAGTGCAGAATTTGCTGGACCACCGTTTTCCTCGTTCCTGACTCTAGCGGACGGGAATTGCACTCCACTCATGCCTGCAAGACCACACGCTCCCCACCCGGGATCTTAGGATTCTGATTTGACTGACAAAACCCCACCAGAGCATCATCCGTGATCAGCTGGGGCATTTTTAATTTTTTTTAATTTTTTGAAAATTTGTTAGGTTTTCTAGATCCACCACATCTTCCAACTTGCCAGCTGGTGCAGAAATGCTGCACAGTTAGACCTTGGGGAACAGGTGGGCCACCTTTGTAGATCCACGCGTGGGTAGACAAGCCAGCAGCACACAGAGGCAACATCAGCAGTGGCACGCAGCACATTTCTTGTTCCCTCTGCCACAAGGAAGCCACTGGGTGCATGAATACAGCACGCATATTATAGGGAGCAAATTCTTTGCATCTCCTAGCCTTGTGGACTGCAAAAGCCAGCATTAGACCTAGAAGAGAGGCAAGACTGCACATGGGAAAGCAGACCACATGGGGCTCCTCCAATTCCTTCTGGTAAAATACCATCCAGAAAATGCTGCCAGAATCTATTGTCCTTGCCATTTTGTGCTTTGGTCCCAGAAACGGCACTCTACGTATCTGTCGCCACACAAAGCCCATTTTTCAAAGCAAGTCGGCCTATGCAAATGCATCACCTGTGTTCTTGGTAGACGGAAATGCCCTCCGGGTGACGATTCCCAGAGTATTCATGAAGAATTTGTTCCCCTGTGTTACACAAGACTCACACGGAAAGCACAGACATGAGCATCTATGACCAGACAGGTCATGAATGAAATCAAAAGAGCACCAAATGTGACAGTCCAATTCATGCTGGAAGGAAAAGCGGAAAGAGACCCAAGGTTTAGTCACCAGGCAAAGCAGCTGGGAGTCACGGCTGCCTCTTAGCTGTGACGGCCACGTTGGACTTGGCTAGGAAATGCCACCAGTCAAAGCCCGATGCCCTTTTTTTCCCCTGGGAGGGAGAATCGCAGCTTTAAGAAAACTTCACATTCACAACAGGGACTTGCTCGGGAATTCTCATTCCTCTCTCAACACCCCTTCTCAGAAAATTTCCCCTGTGGACAAAGCAAAGTGGAGACGGCAGCAGGAAGGCAGCGCCACCGAGACTGGCCAGATGGTGTGTGTGTGTGTGTTTCAGCCTCTTTCTCAACAGCAGGCGACTCGAGGCTGCCCGCATGTCCTGCCCCTCCGTTCTTCAGAATGAGAGAACTCCAACGAAGAGCGCCAGAGCATCCGCCGCAGGGCGCCTGCTGAAGGCAGAGGTTTCCAAAGCCAACCCCAGCCCAGTTCACAGCAAGCTCAAAAGTCACCTCTTGAGGGAGTCAAAAGCAGCCGGTTTGGGCTACTCTGCCCTGCCTACAAGGCCAATCCACTCTCCGGCTGAGCAGGGCAAAGCTTGCCTCTTCGTGGGAAAATGAGCTGTTTGCACCAAAGTAAGGTCAG